TAGCAGTTGTTGATCCTCTTTCTTTGTTGCTAGCCATTCTAAGTGGGACAAGATATCTCAATTCATTTATTTGTATTTCCTTCACAACTAATGAAGTTGAACATTTCTTCATACTTTATTAGTGGCCAAGATGACACATGCATGTGGACACAAATGTGCAAGTGTTCACACTCACACAAATGTTACCTGTGTCTTCATTTTCAAGTATTTTCCCTATGTTTTTTTGTAGTAGTTCCAAAGTCCCATGTCTTACAGAAAGGTCTTTGATATATTTTCAATTGATTCTTGCATAAGATGAGAAATTGTGATCTAATTTCATACTTATGCATGTAGATGTGCAGTTCTCCCAATACCATTTATTGAAGCCGGGCTCAGGTGGCTCATGCCTGTAATCCTAGCTACTCAGGAGGCTGAGATCTGTCTTTGAATTGTGATACTCAGATCTCAGCCTTCTGAGTAGCTAGGTATAACAGGTCCTTATGTGTGACTTCTTAACCTTTCCATATTTGCTTAGAATATTCTTTCAAGTCTTCCTGAGTCACCATTATGAGGTAGTGGTTTATCCTATATTACTTTCATTTTTTCTTGGCACAGTGTACGTATTTTATATTTATTTACCTCTTTTTGTCCATTTTTATTGTACTTAAGTTCTGTGAGGTAGAGACTGTTGCTTTTTCATTTATTATCATATATGTACTACTAAGTACAAAGTATGCAGTAGATAATAGTAAATGCATAAATGACTATGTTGTATGTGTGTGCGCACATGTGCGTGTGTGCATGTTTGTGTGTGTTTGAATTCAGTATTTCATGCTCTTACTTGACTTTTTTGCTCAAGACTGGTACTCTACCACTGAGCCACACCTCTGCTTCTAGTTTCAGTTAGAATTACTGGTGTGATCTGCTGGTGTCCAGGAAATAATTATTTCTATGCACAGTGAAGATTTAAATACAGAATTATGTACTTTCTTGTTATTGTTGTTTTACTGTAGCATAAAATTGATAAACTATGGTTTCTCAGCTAAACTAACCAGCTGCTTAATTTTGTAATATAGACATGCTCATTTGTGTGTGTTGACTATGTTTGCTTTCTAGATATTACAGCAGACTAGAATAGTTATAAGAGACTGTATGCTTGTGAAACCTAAAATACATATTTTCTGGCCATAACTGAAATGTTTGCTGGCCAGAAATGGTGATACACATTGGTAATCTCAGCATTTGGGAGTCTGATTCAGGAGGTTTGTGGGGTGGTGGCCAATTTGAGCCCCATAGTTCAAAACTGTTTCGAAGGAAAACATCCTGGAGCTGGGCAGAATGGGGGAGAAAGATGGAAGGGGTGACATTGATCAAGATTCATTTTTACTAGCTAGGTGCTTGTGGATCATTCCTGTAATCCTAGCTACTCAGGAGATCTGAGAATCACAGTTCTTGTCTAGCCCAGGTAGACAGTCCATGAGACTTTTTCCTCCAGTTAGCCACAAAAAAAGTCAAAAGTAGAGTCTGTGGCTCAAGTGATAGAGTGCCAGCTCGCGCGCACAAACACACACGCACGCGCGCGCGCACACACACTTTTATTCAGATTCACACAGATACATTGTACATATAAACTGACAAGCTAGGTTGAAATTCCTTTGTATTGCAATAATTATAAATATAAGAAAAGGAAGAAGACAAATCATTCCTCTTTGCAGATATTAAAAGACTCCATTTAAAACCCTTGGATTAGATGGGCACTGGTATCTCATGCCTGTGATCCTAGCTACTCAGGAGGCTGAAATCTGAGGATCACAGTGCAAAGCTAGCCAGGGCAGGAAAGTCCTTGAGACTTTTATCTCCAATTAACCAAGAAAACCGGAAGTGGTGTTATGGCTCAAAGTGATTGAGCATTAGTTTTGAGCTGAAGAGCTCAAGGACAGCACCCAGGCCCAGAGTTCAAGCCCTACAACCTAAACAAACAAAAAACCCCAGAACAACCTCCAACAAACTCTTGGATATGCAGATAGGGTTAGCTCAAGTTAGTATCTCTAGCTATTCAAAAAGCTGAGATCTGAAGATTGCAGTTCCAAGCCAGCAAGGCAGAAAGTCTCTGAGACTTTTACCTCCAACTGATAAGCGAAAAGCTGGGAGTACAGGTGTGGTTTTGTGGTAGAGTGTCAGCTTTGATCAGTGAGTAAGTGAGAATATGAGACTCTGACCTTAAGCTTCAGAACTGGCCCCCAAAGAAAACAAAAAAAAATCTATTTGACCTGGTAGAAATTACAGCAAAGTAGCAGATGCAGGCTGAACAGTGTTGGGTGCTAGTGACTCAAGCCCATAATCCTAGCTTCTCAGGAGGTGGAGATTTGAGGATCACAGTTGGAAGCCAGCCCAGGTAAGAAAGTCCATGAATTTTTTTTTTTTTTTTGTCCCTCGTGAGGCCTGAACTCTGGGCCTGGATGCTGTTCAGCTCACTTGAGCCAGAATGCCGCTTTGGCCTTTTCTGCTTATGTGGTACTGAGAAATAGAACCCAGGGCCTCATGCATTGAAGGCAAGCACTCTACCACTGAGCCACCTTCCCAGCCAAAATCCATAAAACTTATATCCAATTAACTTCCAAAAAGTCGGAAGTGAAGTTGTGGCTCAAATAGTAAGAGTGTTAGCCTTGAGCAAAAAAGCTTAGGAACAGCTCCCAGGCTCTGAGTTCAAGCTTCAGGACCAGCACACACACAAAAAAAGCACAAAAACCTAGTTAAACATATGAAAGTCAATAGCTTTCTGTAATGAACTTGCTGAGAAAGAATAAATTCTATTCACGATAGCTTTTTAAAAACGATAGGGTTGGGTGCCAATGGCTCATATTTGAGAAACCTGAAATCTGAGGATTGTGGTTCCAGGCAGGAAAGTCCTTGAGACTCTTACCTCCTATTAACAGCTAAAAGTATAGCTGTGGCTCAAGTGGTAGAGCACTAGCCTTGAGCACAAAAGCTCAGGGACAGTGCCCAGGCCGAGTTCAAGCCCTAGAACAGGCACACCAAAAACAAAACAAAACACCAAAACAACCTAGGAATAAATTAAAGGACTTGAAAGACCTTCACAAGAAAAGTATTAAATGCCAAAGAAAGAAATTAAAGAAGATACTAGATCATAAGACCAACTATGTGGGGCTGGGAAGGTGGCTCAGTGGTAGAGCGCTTGCCTTGCATGGGTGAGGCCCTGGATTCAATTCCTTAGCAGAAAAAAAAATATCTGGAAGTGGTGCTGTGGCTCAAGTGGTAGAGCACTAGCCTTGAGCTGAAAAGCTGAGGGACAGCGCTCAGGCCCAGAGTTCAGGCCCATGACTGGACCCCCACCCCTCAAAAAAAAGACCAACTATGTTCATCAGAAGTCCTTAGAATTGAGTATTGTTAAATGATTATACCATGAAAGTGATCAATAGACCCAAAGCAATCAATATCAAAATCTCAATGACATTATTCACAAAAAATAAAAAAACCTATCCTAAAATATGTCTGGAAGCACTGAAAAAATGAATAACCAAAACAATTCTGAGCAAAAAGCCAATGCTAGAGGTTTCATAGTATCTATCTCAAATTATACTACCAAGGTGCTGGTACTAAAGTACTAACACAGATGTGTAGACCCATGGAGGAGATTAGAAAGCCCAGAAATCTATATAACTACAACCATAGAATCTTTGACAAAGCTTGTGATACATATTAAAGAGAGCTTTACATATATATATATGTATATATATATATATATTTTTTTTTTTTGTCAGTTGTGGGGCTTGAATTCTGTGCTTGGGGACTATCCCTGCGCTCTTCAGCTCAAGGCGAGCGCTCTACCGCTTGAGCCACAGTGCCACTTTTGATTTTCTGGTGGTTAATTGGAGATGAGTCTCATGGACTTTTCTGCCCCGGTTGGCTTTGAACCGTGATCCTCAGATCTCAGCCTCCTGAGTAGCTAGGATTACAGGCATGAGCCACCTGAGCCCGGCTTCAATAAATGGTATTGGGAGAACTGCACATCTACATGCATAAGTATGAAATTAGATCACAATTTCTCATCTTATGCAAGAATCAATTGAAAATATATCAAAGACCTTTCTGTAAGACGTGGGACTTTGGAACTACTACAGAAAAACATAGGGAAAACACTTGAAGACACAGGTAACATTTGTGTGAGTGTGAACACTTGCACATTTGTGTCCACATGCATGTGTCATCTTGGGGCTTGAACCTCAGGGCCTGGATGTTGTCCTTGAGCTTTTTTGCTCAAGACTAGTGCTCTACCACTTGTCACAGTTTCACATGCAGCTATTTAATTGGAGCTGGACACCAGTAGCTCATGCCTGTAGTCCTGGCTACTCAGTAAGCTGAATTCTGATGGTCTTAAGTTCAAAGCCAACCTGGACAGATGGATCAGAAGAGTGGTATGCAATTAGCCACCCACCAGAAAGCCTGAAGTGTATGCATGATTTAATCAGTAGAGTCATGAGAAAAAGCAGAGCAAGAGTTGCACAAAGGCCTAAGTTCAAACTCCAGCACTGGCAACGAATAAAGTACGAAGAAATGTTCAACTTCATTAGTTATGAAGGAAATACAAATAAATGAATTGAGATATCTTGCCCCACTTAGAATGGCTAGCAACAAAGAAAGAGGATCAAGAACTGCTAGTTAAGATGTGTGTAAAAAAGGAATCCCTATACAGTGTTTGTTGGTAGGAATGTACATAATGTGTTTAGGTGGAAATTAGCATGAAGGATCCTCAAAAACTAAAAATAGAACTACTTTATGATGTTGGCATTATCACTCCTGGGCATATATTGGAAGTAACCTTGTAAGTCAGTATATAATAGAGATATTATCTGCACACTGATGTTTATTTCAGCACTATTCACAGTAGCCAAATTGTTGAGTCAGTTTGTGCCCATCAACTGGTGAATGGATAAAGACAATATAGAATATATTCAATGTAGTATTAATCAGCTAAAAAGAATGAAATTGGCCTGGGAAGTATGGCTGCAGTTGGTATAGTTCTTACTCTAGACACTGAATTCACACCCAAGTCCCATAAAAAAATTGAAAAAAAATATGGAAATACGTTATTTTCGGGAAAAAAGGATGAAACTGTTAAAGAAATAAGCCAGACTTAAATATTCCTTGTTTTCTCATGCACAAACTAGACATACACACATGTATCACATGAATGTAAAAGGGGGCCTGTTTTTTGTTTTTTTAGGGGAGAGAACCAGTGGGAAGGGAAAGAAGTTGGATGGGGCCCATGCATATGATCAAAGTATAGTATGTGTACACAGGAAAAATAGTTTAATGAAACTTGCCAAAGATCGAAAGAGTTCAAGTCCCAGGACTGGCAAAAAAAAAAAAGGCTTACTGTCCCAAATCTTTTGTATAATATAACATTTTACACTAGAAGACATTAGTTGGACATTAGTCCAACTGTACTATTTATATGCCAATAGTGGGGCTTGAACTTAGGGCCTTATGACCATACTTGGCTCTTTTGTTCAACCTTGGCACTGTATCACTTAAGCCATAACACTTAAGCATTCTGCTAGTGTTTTGAAGATGAGTGTCTTGGATTTGTCTGCCTGAGCTGGTTTCCAAATGGGACCCTCAGCTCTCAGACTCACAGAGCCACCAGTGTCTGGCATCCAGATTCACTTTTTGATTTTATTTTGTAATATCAAGGATTGAACAGTCTTGTACATGCTAATATGCAAGTGCTCTACCATTTAGCCTTGTCCCCAACAAACCACATTTTTTTTTTTTTTTTTGGTCATGAGGCTTGAACTCTGAGCCTGGGTGCTGTCCCTGAGCTCTAAAGCCCAAGGCGAGCACTCTACCACTTGAGTCACAGCACCACTTCTGGTTTCATGGTGGTTAATTGGGGATAAGTGTCTCACAGATTTTCCTGCCTGGGCTGGCCCTGAAGCATGATCCTTAGATCTCAGCCTCCTGAGTAGCTAGGATTATAGGTATGAGCTACCAGACCCCAGCTTCCAGCAAGCTACTTTTAAAATACAGTTTCGGTGTCCAATTTAACTTTAGGATCTTTTCATAGTGAAACATACCGTTTTTGAAATTCAGTGGAGATCAGTCAGGAAGTTGAGGAGAGAGTTTAATAGTGGGATGTTGGATTTTTTTTTTTTTTGCTGTTCATGGGCCTTGAACTCTGGGCTTGGGCACTATCCCTCAGCTCTTCAGCTCAAGGGGAGAGCACTCTACGGCAGTGCCACTTCCGGTTTTCTAATGGTTTATTGGAGATAGGAGTCTGGAGTGGCTTTGAACCACGATCCTCAGATCTCAGCCTCCTCAGTAGCTAGGATTACAGGCATGAGCCACCAGTGCCCGGTGGGATGTTGAATTTTTAAGAGAAAGAAGCAACCTTGACCAAACTGGGGACTTCAGGAAACAATTTATGAAGGGGAAAATAGACATTAAAATTGGGTTGTCAGAATCTAATAATTTAAGGGAGGCCTTGTGGAGAGATCTAGGGTTTAAGGACGGGATGCTGCTGAGCTACCACTGGTACTGCTGGTAGAGGGACCTCAAGACTGGTTGTTTGAATTCTAAGAGAAACTTTGCAGATGGAACCAGTGCTATTGTTGTTTTTCTGTATCTCAAGCTACAAGCTCTCTTTCTCTCCTTTAGTTCTAGCGTCTCATAGGCATCAGGAAGATCTTAACAGGAAGCCAGCTGGATATAAAAGTATATAGATTTCAGAGGTTCCAGCCCCTATACCACAAAGCATAAAACAGAAGAGTAGATTTGGATTTGAGATAAGAAACCAGCAAATGTTCCCTTCTTCGTGCATCTAATGTTAGGAATCTGTTTTTAAACTCAGATTCATCAGTAACAAAAGATTGATTGACTTAAGTGTATTTGTGATGGGTACTGGTGACTCATACCTGTAAATCCTAGGTACTCAGGAAGGTTGAGATCTGAAGATCAGGGTATAAAGCCAGTCAGGGCATGAAAGTCCCTAAGATTCTTACCTCTCACTAAGTACCAAAAAAGCCAGAAATGGAGCTGTGTCTAAGTGGTAGAGCACAAGCCCTGAGCAAAATAATATCAGGGACAGTGCCCAGGCCTGAGTTCAAGCTCCAGGACTGGCACACAAAAAAAACACAAAAAAATTTGCAAATTGAGGTTTTGTTTTTGTATTGGCTTTAACATTGGTTTAGCATTATTCATAATTATTTTTCTTTATTTCAGTATCAGATATAGAAGGTGGTGATGGACTGCAGCTTAGGAAGGAACATACTCTCAAAATTTTTGCTTATATCAATTCCTGGACACAAAGGTATGCATTTTTCTGTATTTTGAAGATTAACTTTATGAGTTATATTTTGAATTGCCTTTGATTGTCATCAAGTTCTCTACTTGGATGTTGCGTTGTTGCATTAGATACCTTTGGCTTTAAGTGGATGTTTATCTGTACTTAAAATCATCTTTATCCTCACACTAAGAATCTTCACTTAAGTGTCTATCCAATTTAAATAATCTTTCTAAAATTTTTATGAGTAAGAATGTTATCCACTGTTGCCCACAATATTATGTACAATGATCAGTGAACATATTGAATATGGTGACACAAGAGAAAGTCCTGAGGTACACAGTATAGCAGGCTAGCTAATCATAGAGTTTAGCAAGAATAGTTAATTTCAAATATCAGTTGCTCTATAGTAGTGTACTTTTTTTTTTTTTGTCGGTGGTGGGGCTTGAACTCTGGGCTTGGGCGCTGTCCCTTGGCTCTTCAGCTCAAGGCAAGTGTTCTACAGCTTGAGCCACAGTGCCACTTCTAGTTTCCTAGTGGTTTTATTGGAGATAAGAGTGTCACGGACTTTCCTGCCCAGGCTGGCTTTGAACCGCGATCCTGGGATCTCAGCCTCCTGAGGAGCTAGGATTACAGGCGCCCAATTTTTTCCTTCATCTGTAAAATTACACATTGTTTAAGAAAAGCTTGTAGCTTTTAATTATTTAAAACTGGTATGTTGTTAAAGGAAATCTAACAAAATGAGTGTGCTTGTCAAGGTATACTGTATATACCTATAGAATGACTATAACGTAGTATTATTGTACATTTAAAACATTGTACTATTATTATATGCTAAGAAAATACACTGGTATATCATCAGTTTTAACATTTCTTTTGTTTTTTTTTTTTTGTTGTTGTTCCTGGGTCTTGAACTCTGGGCCTGGGTGCTGTCCCTCAGCTCTTCAGCTCAAGGCGAGCACTCTACCACTTGAGCTACAGCGCCACTTCCGGTTTTCTTTTTTTTGCGGGGGGGTCCGGTCGTGGGGCCTGAACTCTGGGCCTGTGCACTGTCCCTCAGCTCTTAAGCTCAAGGCTAGCGCTCTAACACTTGAGCCACAGCGCCACTTCCGGCTTTTTTCTTTTTGCTTATGTGGTACTGAGGAATCAAACCCAGGGCCTCATGCATGCAAGGCAAGCGCTCTACCACTGAGCCACCTTCCCAGCCCCTACTTCCGGTTTTCTAGTGGTTAATTGGAGATAGAGTCTCACGACATTCTTGCCTGGGCTGGCTTTGAATTGTAATCCTGAGATCTCAGTCTCTTGAGTAGCTAGGATTACAGCTGTGTGAGCCACCGCACCCTGCTTTAGCATCTCTTTTCCTCAGGCATATGCATTTTTTTTGTCAGTCCTGGGGCTGGAACTCAGGGCCTGGGCATTGTTGTTCCTAAACTTCTTTTGCTCAAGGCTAGCACTCTACCACTTGAGCCACAGTGGTACTTCTGTTTATGTGGTACTGAGGAATCAAACCCAGGACTTCATGTATGCTAGACAAGCACTCTACCACTAAACCACATTCACAGCCCAGTAACTTACTTTTTATTTATTCATTTAATATTTTTTATTATTATTATCTTTAAGTAGTTGCACAAAGAAGTTCCCAGTAACTTACTTTTTTTTTGTCGGTTGTGGGGCCTGAACTCTGGGCCTAGGCGCTGTCCTTCAGCTCTTCAGCTCAAGTCTAGCGCTCTACCACTTGAGCCACAGCGCCACTTCCGGCTTTTTTTCTTTTTGCTTATGTGTTGCTGAGGAATCGAACCCAGGGCTTCAGCATGCAAGGCAAGCGCTCTACCACTAGCCACCTTCCTAGCCCACAGTAACTTACTTTTAAAAACAGAGTTTAGAAGCTAATTGCTTTTGAATAGGTTTAGGTATGTGCTCCACATATACAAAAAATAAGGTTTTGTTTTATTTTGGCATCAAGGATGTGTGTGTTTGTGTGTGTGTGTGTGTGTGTGTGTGTGTGTGTCCATCCCCTGAGTCTGCTTGAACTCAGGGGTATGGGTGTTACCTCTGAGCTATTTTTTTGGCTGGTTGCGGGCCTGAACTCTGGGCCTGGGTGCTGTCCTTCAGCTCTTCAGCTCAAGGCTAGTGCTCTACCACTTGAGCCACAGTGCCACTTCCGGCTTTTTCTGCTTACGTGGTGTTGGGGAATCAAACTCAGGGCCTCATGCTTGCAAGGCAATTACTCTACCACTGAGCTACCTTCCTAGGCCCTGTCCCAGAGCTTTTATGCTCAAGGCTAATGTTCTACCACTTGAGACACAGATCCACTTTTGCCTTTTTGGTGATTAATTGGATATAAGAGTATCACAGATTTTCCTCCCTAGGCTGGCTTCAAACCACAGTCCTCACCTCTAAGTCTTCTTAGTAAGATTACAGATGTGAGCCACTGGCACCTGGCTCAAGGACATTTTTGATTTAGGATCTCCTTTTTGTCTGGCAGTCTGCCTCTTAGTCTTCCTGTTATTGCTTTGATGTCAAGTACTTGCCAATGTGTCCCAGTTCTTTCTTTGGAGATGGAACCTCAAGGATTGTTGTCTTGGACTGGCACTGTGATCCTTCCAGTCCTTCCGTGTAGCTTTAGGATTCCACTGTGCCCAGCTTTGGGTCTTACAAACTTTACTTTGAACTGTGAGCCTTCCAACCTCTGCCTCCCAAGTAGCTAGGTTTACAGGTGTGACTGCATTTAAAAAAAAGTCACTTGGAGCCTGGCGCTGGTGGCTCATGCCTGTAATCGTAGCTACTCAGGAGCCTGATATATGAGGATCACAGTTCAAAGCCAGCCCAAGCAGGAAAATTTGTGAGACTCTTATCCCCAGTAAACCACCAGAAAACGGAAAGTGGTGCTGTGGCCCAAGTGGTAGAGCACTAGCCTTGAGCTGAAGAGCTCGGGACAGTGCCCAGGTCCAGAGTTAAAGCCTCACGACTGAGGAAAAAAAAATAACTTTATGTTTTAAAATGTAAGCCCTCAGGTGGATAATAAAATCTTAATAAGGCTAGAAGTAATAGTTGTAAGAACTATAAAGGCAGTGAAGTCTGGTATAAGGGTATGAATGATATTGGCGAATACAAGCAATCTATACTGTTAAAATGTAAATGATAAAGTAGCTATAATTAATTAATTAATTTTTGTCAGTTGTGGGGCTTGAACTCTGGGCCTGGGTGCTGTCCCTCAGCTCTTCATCTCAAGGCGAGCTCTCTACCACTTGACACAGCACCACTTACTGTTGTTCTGGTAGTTTGTTGGAGATAAGAGTCTCACAGACTTTCCTGCCCAGGCTGGCTTTGAGCCATGATTCTCAGATCTCAGTCTCCTGAGTTGCTAGGATTACAGACTTGAGCCACCGATGCTCAGCTTCACGTGAATTATTTTCCTTGGATGGATCACTAATTTTTTCCCCAACTCTCTAACCCTTTTTAGTTTGATGTTATTTTTCCTCCCACAGACTTATGTCATGTTTTTTCATTTTTTTTCCTGCTTCAGTCTGTATTGATTGCTCTCAGGGATTGCTAAACATTTACTTCCTTTTCTGATTTTATTTATTTATTTTTGCCCATCCTGGGGCTTAAGCTCAGGGATTGGGCCGTGTCCCTGAGCTTCTTTGCTCAAGGCTAGCACTCTTATCATTTGAGCCACAGAACCACTTCCAGCTTTTTCTGTTGACCTGGTACTGAGCTGGGGCTTCCTGTGTGCCAGGCAAGCACTCTACCCCCTAAACCAATTTCCTAGCCCTCTGATCTCATCTTAAAATTACTTTCCTTGTATATTGAATGTACAGTGTAATTCCAGTTTTTAGTCTTTTTTTTTTTTTTTTTTGGTCCGTTGTGGGACTTGGGTGCTGTCCCTGCACTCTTCAGCTCAAGGTGAGCACTCTGCTGCTTGAGCCACAGCGCCACTTCCGGTTTTCTATTGGAGATAAGAGTCTCACAGACTTTCCTGCCTGGGCTGCCTTTGAACCTCTATCTTCAGATCTCAGCCTGCTAAGTTGCTAGGATTAGAGGCGTGAGCCACCGACGCCCAGCAGTCTTTTTGGTTCATATACTTGTTAAGAACATTTTTTACCCCCTTTTTCTTTTTTTTTTTGTGTCAAGCAGGTGGTTAGTACTGGAACTTGAACTCAATTTGGTACTTCCCCTTGGCTTTTTCACCCAAATCCAGTGCTCTACCATTTGGGTTACACCTCCACTTCTGGCATTTTGCTGGCTAATTGAAGATAAGAATCTCCAGTCTATCTAGGTTGGCCTCCAGCTAAGATTCTCAGATATCAGCCTCCTGAGTAGTTCAGATTGTGTGAGTCACCAGTGCTTGGTGAGAAAGACTTCTAAGAAAAAATACATAGGCAAAATGTACTTTTTATACTTTATAGGGCTAAATTTTTTTTCTACACATGAATGAAAAGCTTTTTTTTGGATACTGAATTTTATGTGGAAAATGGTTTTCTATCATCACTGTGAAGTATAGCACTCTATTGCATTGTAGGTACTAATACTGATTTGTGGAAGTATTTGGCTGTTTGTTTTGTTTTTGTCGGTCATGGAGCTTGAACTCTGAGACTGGGCACTGTTCCTCAGCTCTTCAGCTCAAGGCTAGGGCTCTGCTGCTTGAGCCACAGCGCCACTTCCAGTTTTCTGTTGGTTTATTGGAGATAAGAGTCTCTTGTACTTTCCTGTCTGGGCTGGCTTTGAACCGTGATCCTTAGATCTCAGCCTCCTGAGTAGCTAGGATTACAGGTATGAGCTACCAGTGCCTGACTGAACATTTTTATTTGGTAATTTTCTCACTTTATACTTTCTGTTGCTTTTTTTTTTTTTTCTTTTTTTTTGTCAGTCATGGGGCTTGAACTCTAGGCCTGGGCACTTTACCTGTGCTCTTCAGCTCAAGGCGAGTACTTGTACCACTTGAGCCACAGCACCACTTCCTTTCTGTTTTGTCTTCTAGGGACTGTTATTATTACTTTGCTATAAGTCTTGCTCTGACAGGATTGTATTTTGTAATCCATATTTGTTTTCATTATCATTTCATTCTTGTCTACTCAGCATAAGTTGGATTTAAGACCTTTTTTCCCATTCTGCATTTTATGAATTCAGTTCTACCAATCATTTTGCTGTTGTTTTTATCTGTCTTTGTAGAGCAGGTTTTTTGAAAATTCTTGTTATCTTCGGCTATTCTTTTATGGTTGAGTGGACCATTGAGCTGGGTGCTGCTGGTGGCTTATACCTTTAATCCTAGTTACTCTGGAGGCTGAGATCTTAGGATCTTTGTTTTGAAGCTAGCTCAAGGAGGAAAGTCTGAGTCTCCTTATCTATAATCTCTCTGTGTCTCTGTCTCTCTCTGACACACACACACACACACACACACACACACACACACACCTCCCCCTCCCCCCCCCACTGAGAAGTAGCTGTGGCTCAAGTGGTAGAGCTCTAGCCTTGAGTTAAAAGCTAAAGGTCAGTGCCCAGGTCTTGAGTTCTAGCCCCAGTAGGGGTATATGAGAAAAAGGGAAGGGAGGAGACATAGGAAGGGAGAGAAAGAGAAGGAGCGGGAAGGAAAGACAGGGAGAGCAACTAAAAAGTGGATTGACTGTTCTCTGTGGTTAGGACATCTCTCAATGTTGGTCTACTTTGTATGTGAGGATAAACTGGTTTTTCTCTTAGAATATTTGTATTCTCTAAGGTATACATCCTTTAGTGTTTGGCCAGGAGAAATGTTAATCTGGTTGTTGGACATCAAAATATATTCTCACTGAGTCCTGTTTTTTGCCCCATGTTTCACCCTTATGTTCAGAGATGTTTGGAGCTTTTTTTTTTAAAACTAAATAGTTGCACAATAAAGTTTCAATTTCATAAGTCAAGTTATAAGTACAGGGCATCTTGATCAATGTCACCCCTTCCATTATTCTCTCTCATTTTCCCCCCTTCCCATCTTTACATTCAATTTACATAGTTCATTTTTTACATAGTGTACATTGAATATAATGACTAATGACCCTTCCTCCTTTGTGTGTCCCCCCTCCCCCATTGCTCTTCACCATGTTTCTGCTTCATGGTATATATGTTGTTAGGAGAATTCATTAATTGTTCAGAGGAATTTCACGATTGGACTCCTTCCTTAAGTATGCTATTTTGTAGTCAGTCTGTGTGTATAAGCATAATAATACTCTGTGTATATTATCATGTATGTTTGTATTTTATTTAATTTTTGGGTCTGGCCTTGGAGCTTGAACTCAGGGCCTGGGCCTGTCCTTGAGCTTCATTGCTCAAAACCACTGCCTGAGCTACAGTATTACTTACTAGCTTTTTTTTTGTAGTTAATTGGTGGTAAAAGTTTCACTTAATTTCCTGCGTGGGCTGAAATCAATCCTCAGATCTCAGCCTCCTGAGTAGCTAGGATTATAAGTATGAGCTACTGGTGCTGGTTGTGTTTGTATATTAGATCTAATTTTCATGTATGAGAGAAATAGGCACTGCTTGTCTCTATGACCCTGACTTCACTTAACATTTTTCCTTAGTCTGTCCCATTTCCCTGCAAATGACATATTATTCTTTCTGATAGATGAGTAAAATTCCATTGTATATATTGATCCACTAATTTGTTGTAGGGTTTCTAGGCTGTTTTCATGACTTGGCTATTGTGAATAGCACAACAATGAACATGGGTGTGCAAATATATTTACAGCATCCTGTAATGCCCTTGGTAGATGCCCTAGAGTAGTATCTCTGGATCATAGGGTATTTTTATGTTTACTTTTTTGAGTACTCTCCAGACTGCCCTCTAGAGTGGTTGTACTAATTTATATTCCCATCAACAATGTGAAAGGGTTCCTTCTTCCTTCCTCTCCCCTCCAACCCCACCAGCATTTTTCTTTTTTGGGGGGCGGGGGCGGTCAGGTCCTGAGTGCTGTCCTTGATCTCTTTGTAGCACTCTACTTCCTTGAGCCACAGCTCCCCTTCTTGGTTTTCTGGTAGTTAATTGGAGCTAAGAGTCTCAGGGACTTTACTGCCCCGGCTGGCTTTGAACCACAGTCCTCAGATCTCAGCCTTCTAAATAGCTAGGCTTACAGGCATGAGGCATCAGCACCAGCCGTAAGATTCTTATCTCCACTCAGCCACCCAAAAGGACCTGAAGTGGAGCTATGACTCAAGTGATGAGTGCTAGCCTTAAGTAAAAATGCTCAAGGTTATCTTTTAATTATCTTCTGTAGTATTGGTTTGGTGGCAATAAATTGTTTCAATTTTTCTTCATTATGGAATGTTTTTATTTGTCCTTTATTGGGAAGGAGAGCTTTGTTGGGTATAGTATTCTTGGTTGGTAGTTGTTTGCCTTTAGTGTTCGGCCTACATCATTCTAGGCTCTTCATGCTTTTGTGGTCTCAGCTAAGAAATCTGTAGTTACTCTGACAGCTTTTAGAATCTTTTCCTTGTTCTCTATTGATCCTGTGTGAATTACAATGTGGTAATGGGGTGTTCTTTTCTGGTCTGATTTGTTTGGCGTTCTAAAGGCTTCTTGTCTGAATAGGCCTATCTTTTTGGATGTTTGGAACTTCCCTGGTAGAATTCTGTTAAATATGTGTCCTACCTTTTATTTGCTTGCTCTTCTCCTTCCTCAATATCTACTAGTCTCAAATTAGGTCTTCTAATTGAGTCTGAAAATCAACAAGAACATGATATTGGCAGAGAAAATGCTCCTTACGAAAGGACCATATAATGTAGTAAGAATAGATGAGGCACAGCTCATGGCAGGAGTTACCAGACACTTCTCAGTCCTCTCTCAATATCAATAGAGATGTATTAGTGCTTGTGTAAGGATTGTGAAGTTTTAAAGCTTGGAGTAAAAATAACAAAAAAAATCTATTTGCCATATTTACAAGGTGTAATTATGCTTGGTTTATTACTCCAGATAAGAGAATAGTTTTAGGAAATAGAAAATTTTGGCAAATTAAAGGTGTTTGCCAAGTTTTGTTGTACTTACTTGATATCTTACTGTTTTAAAATAAAATGAAATATTTTTGCCCCATTTAAAAAAATACTCAGGGACAGTGCATAAGCCCTTGAATTCAAACCGTAAGACTAGCCCTTTCTATGAAAGGGCTTTTAATTTAACATATTAGAGATAATAATAAAAATGTAAAATAATAAAATGCTGAAGTTCATGACTTATCCTTAAAGCTGATTTTCCCTAAACATTGCATAAACAGACTGTTCATCTGAATTGCTTTTGGAACCTTTTTCTTTTTGTAGAAGTTTTTATATTAAGGAATTTTAAAGCTGGTGAAAGTCTTCAAAGAAATAACTCTTTCATTTTGCGGCTGAGAAAACAGGCATAATATGTTATATATTTCTGTGGGCCAAATTAAAAGTATTCTATTTTGAACAAAATATGTCTCACCATGTAGTACCCTAAGCAGGCCTCAAACCAGTAGTATTCCAGTGTTAGTATTCAAGGGCTGCAATTACAGACATGTATCACTATGCCTGGGTAAAAGTTGTTTGGGTGAGTGTGTGTGTGTGTGTGTGTGTGTGTGTATACATATACATATATTTTTTTCTTTCTTTTTAAGGTGCTTGTCCTGGGGCACAAACTCAGTCTAGGTGCTGCCCCTTAATTTTTATGCTCAAGGCTAGTGCTCTACCATTCTAACCACAGCTCCATATCCAGCTTTTTTTTTTTTTTTTTTTTTTGGTGACATGGCTTCAAACTGTGATCTTTAGATCTCAGCCTCCTGAATAGTGAGGATTACAGGTGTAAGCCGCTGGTGCATAGCTTAAAAAATTGTATCTTAACAGTAATATACATTTGTTAACCTTAAAGTTATGAGATGAGAGTTTATTCTGGCTTGGGTTGTTCATAAGTGTTTTTTTTTTTTTTTTTGTCAGTTGTGGGGCTTGAACTCTGGGCCTGGGCGCTATTCTTCAGCTCTATGAGCTCAAGGCGAACGCTCTACCACTTAGGCCACAGTGCCACTTCTGGTTTTCTGTTGGTTAATTGGAGATAAGAGTCTCATGGACTTTCCTGCCCTGGCTGGCTTTGAACTGTGATCCTCAGATCTCAGCTTCCTGAGTAGCTAGGATTACAGGTGTGAGCCACTGGTGCCCAGCTATAACTAGCTTTCAAAATACTCATTGAATATGTGTTCAGAATTCAGTGAAGAAGCAAAGGAATAGGCCATAATTGTTTTGCCTAAATAAATTCCTTGTGTAAGAAGGATAGATACATACATAAAACTAAAGATGATAGTACTAATCTTCACATGGTGACTTTAACTTAAGTTCCATTTGTAGGTGTGATGTTATCTTTTTGAGCAATTATGGTGCTACTCCAGTAGAAATGAGAAAAAAAAATTAGATAAAGGGCTAAGAATATAGCTCTGATAGCATGATGAAGGCCCTGGGTTGGAGCCCCATATTATAAAACCAAAGCTTCTCAAAAAGAAGAAAATAAGTTTTAATATTTGCTTTTTAAAAAGTATTATTAAAAATAATTGTTGCCTCTAGGAAGCATTTATTTATTGAATTTTTTTTCTCTTATAGGCAATGTCTATGCTGCTTCAAGGAATATAAGCATTTGGAGATTTTTAACCAAGTAGTGTGTGCACTTATTAACTTAGTGATTGCCCAAGTTCAAGTGCTCCGGGACCAGCTTTGTAAACATTGTACTACTATTAACATAGATTCCACGTGGCAAGATGAGAGTAATCAAGCGGAAGAACCACTGAATATAGATAGAGAGTGTAATGAAGGAAGTACAGAAAGACAAAAGTCAATAGAAAAGAAACCAAACTCTACAAGAATTTGTAATCTGACTGAGGAGGAATCTTCAAAGAGCTCTGATCCCTTTAGTTTATGGAGTACAGATGAGAAGGAAAAACTCTTACTATGTGTAGCAAAAATTTTTCAAATTCAGTTTCCCTTATATACTGCTTATAAACATAATACTCATCCTACTATAGAGGTATGTAAAAATAGGTATTGTGAATTTTTAGTATTAGTAAGCTTTAGGTTGGCAGTCTATTTCTTATGAGTGAGCTTACTGTTGATGGAAAAATATACTAGTTACTAGTGTTGCCATGATGGCTTCAGATTTCTCCAGAATATTATATATTAATCTATTTTGAAATTTTGCTCAACCCTATTTATAAATTGAATTCATGAAATTATTAGTGATTGACTTAAACATTTTGATACTGTAGACCTATATTGTCCTTACTGTGACTCTTTCAAGAATGCTTTTTTCTCTTTAATTTTATTATCTCTAAGTAGTTGTACATTTCAGTTTCTTGATAAGTATCATTCCTTTCATAGTTCACCATCTTTAAAAAATTGTTGATTAAGCTGGACAGCAATGGCTCAGCCATCTCAGGCAGGAAAGTCAAAGATACTCTGCACCAGCCTTGCATGGAAAAGCTAAGGGATAGCACCCAGGCTGAGTTCAAGCCCTAGTGCTGGTATGCATCTGTGCACAGACAGACAGACACACAGAGTGATTGTGGTAAAAAAGGCACATAGAATCAATTTCATTCATAGAAACATAGATGATACGGGGTGGGGGGGGGAGGGAGAAATTGTCAGGTACTGAGTTCAAATCTTGGTCTCTAACCCAAAAAGAACCCCCAAAACAAAACACATATGACAGACTGTGATAGTGATAATCACTAACATTCTTCTTTTTTGTTGGTGGTGGTAGTGGGGCTTGAACTCTGGACCTGGGCACTGTCTCTCAGCTCTTCAGCTCAAGGCAAGTGCTCTACCACTTGAGTCACAGTGCCATTTCTGGCTTTCTGAGTGGTTTATTGAGATAAGAGACTCAAGAACTTTCCTGCCCAGGATAGCTTTGAACCATGATCCTCAGATCTCAGGCTACTGAGTAGCTACGATTACAGGCATGAGCCACAGGTGCACGGCACCACTATCGTTCTTAAATGATAGTGACATTAAGTAATAATATTCTCCTAGTGATTTTTATAATGATTTTCAAGCATTTGGTAGTTTACCTAAGATTTATTAAGATAGGAATTTCTTTCTAGAAACAAAGAATTAAGATAGTTCCATGGTATTGTGTTAGTGGTTTAATGAAATAGTTATCTTTTCATATTGGGCATTTACTTTGGTAGTTTTGTATGCGTTTATACAGCACTCATTTTGAGATTTGGTTGGGTGAGTTGAACAAGTCTCACCTGTTTGGTATTTAATGGTTGATGGTGTATGAAGCTACTTGTATTTTCTCCTTATAGCTTTTGATTTTCCATGAGAACATGAATTTGATTTCTGTCAGATTACAAACAGATTTTATTAGTGCCAAACGTAGAAGCTTTAGTAAGGCTTCTTTAAAACCAGCTGCTGAAATGTCATAAAATGAATTTGTCACGTGTGAATTTGCTGCCTTGTGAAGCAGTTCATAAGAGTCAAAGGGGGTAGTGCAATAGATTTCATCTCTGGATGGAAATACAGCTAAAATTTTATATTTTTGGCTTTCTGTTTCCTGTGATACTGGGATAAGAAAATATGTGACTTTTAGAGAGATTACCTTTTTTTTTTAAACAATACTTGCCTGCTTTTTAGATTAATTTGTTTTATTTAGTTTTTTGGTATTGGCATCTTAGCACAGGGCCTTACACTTGCTAGGCAGGAGCTTTCCTCTAGCTATGCTTATTTGTTTTAAAACTTTCATACTTCTCTGAACTTTTCTTTCCTTTTTTAAAAAAATTAGAAAATAATTCCTTCATTGTAATCTTCCAGTAATTTCTTTTTCCTTTTTTTTTTTTTTTTGGTTGGTCATGGGGCTTAAACTCTGGGTGCTGGCCCTGGGCTCTTCAGCTCAAGGCTAGCACTCTACCACTTGAACCACAGCGCCACTTCCAATTTTCTGGTGGTTAATTGGAGAAAAGAGTCTCATGGATGTTCCTGCCTGGGCTGGCTTTGAACCACAGCTCTCAGATCTCAGCTTCCTGAGTAGCTAGGATTATAGGCGTGAGCCAGTGGCGCCTGGCATCCAGTAATTTCTTTCTTGTAATATTTTCACATTGAATTTAGGCTAACTACAAAATGGCCCAGGAAATAGATATTTTGTCCTTTAGAGAGTTATCTTAGCAATATTTTAAACCAGATTGTGCATGCTTGCCCTCTTTCTCCTTTCCCTTACCTCTTTTGTACTTGTCAGGGCTTGGATGCTGTACCTGAGCTTTTTTGCTCAGGGCCTGCATTTTCTACTCGAACCACAGCTCTACTTTTGGCTCCCCTCCATGTCCTAGGGTTTGAACGCAGAGCCTGGGTGCTGTCCCTGATCTTCTTTTGCTCAAGGCTAGCATTCTACCACTTGAGCCATAGCTCTACTTTCTGGGTTTTTCTGAGTAGTTTATTGGAGATATGAGTTTCACAGACTTTTCTGCCCAGGCTGGCTTCGAGCCTGCAATCCTCAGATCTCAGCCTCCTGAATAGCTAGGATTACAGACGTGAGCCACCAGCACCCAGTCTTTTCTTTTTTCTCTTTTGTAGTTAATTTGCGGTAAGAGTCTCACGAACTGCTTGGGCTGGCTTTGCACCTCAATCCTCAATTCTCAGCCTTCTCAGTAGCTTCCTGGGTGGCTTGGATTACAGGCAAGAGTTGCTGGTGCCTGGGTAAATTGTGCTCTTCTAGAATTCTTAGTCTGTTAACTTTGCTGGTAGAAGCTTATTAAAAATATGTTACAAACCAGGTGTCAATGGCTCACATCTGTAATGCTAGCTTTTTGGGAGTCTGAGACAGGGAAGATCAAGGTTTGAGTCCAGCCTGTGCAAAAACAAGAAATGAGTCCTCTTTTTAACTAATAGGCAACTGTGGCACATGCATGTTGTCCCTGATATGTAGGAAGTATAAATAGGTGGACTGCAGTGCAAGCATGAACCTGAGTAGGAAGTGAGATGCTATCTCAAATATAACCACTGTGAAAAAGCAGTATTATACCTGCCCAAGAAGACAAGGCTCTGATTTTAAATCCTCCCAAAAGTTGTTAACCATTTTAAAAAAGATCTTTTTTCAACAATGAAGATCTATCATCTAACCCATAAAAACAAATCTTAAGAACATACTTTAAGTGGCTGGGAAGGTGGCTCAGTGGTAGAGTGCTTGCCTTGCATGCATGAGGCCCTGGGTTTGATTCCTCAGCACCACAAAGCAGAAAAGGCCAGAATTGGTGCTATGACTCAAGTGGTAAAGCACTAGCCTTGAGCTGAAGAGCTGAGGGCCAGTGCCCAGGCTCAGAGTTCAGGCCCCACGACCAACAACAACAGAAAAAGAAAAGAACATACTTTAATATCTTCATTTGTTACTAGAATATGCTAGAAATAATCTGGTTAGGAATCTCTATATATTACATTCACGTAGAAATAATTTTTCTCCAGTTAAAAATTTGTTCCAGGAGCTGGGAAGGTGGCTCAGTGGTAGAGCGCTTGCCTTGCATGCCTGAGGCCCTGGGTTCAATTCCTCAGCACCACATAAGCAAAAAGAAAAAAGCCAGAAGTGGCGCTGTGGCTCAGGGGGTAGAGCACTAGCCTGAGCTGAAGAGCTGAGGGACAGTGCCCAGGCCCAGAGTTCAGGCTCACGACTGACTTAAAAAAAAAAAAAATTGTTCCAAAAGCTGTATGGCAGTAGCTCAGAGGCTGAGATCTGAGAATTCTTTTTCAAAGCTAGCCTGGGCAGGAAAGTCTGTGAGACTCTAATTTCCAACTAAAAAGCCAGAAGTGGTGCTGTGGCTTAAGTGTTAGAGAGCTATCCTTGAACAACAGAAAGCTCAGGGACAATGTCCAGGCCCTGAGTTCAAGCCTTAGGATCAGTACACATGCCTCTGCACCTCACTCCCCCCACCCCCCAAAATTGCTAATGAGTCGGGCACTGGTGGCTTACACTTGTTATTCTAGTTACTCACAAGGCTGAGATTGAGGTTCAGAACTAACCAGGGCAGGAAAGTCTGTCAAATTCTGGTCTCTGATTACCAGAAAATTTCATGATAGTGTCTAGGTCCTGATCAGTTCAAGCCTCAGGATGAGCATTAAAAAAAATCCTTAATAATAGAATTGTAATTAGTACTATACTGCAATTTTGTTTCTAAAATGTCCAAAAGTGATGTCTGTAAATGTAGTCATAGGTTATACTGAAAAAGAAGTTTAAGCTGTAATCCTAGCTACTTAAGAGGCCGAGATCTGAGGATCGTAGGTTGAAGCCAGACCAGGAAGGAAAGTCCATGAGACTTTTCTCTCCAATTAATCACTGAAAAAGCCAGAAATGGCACTGTGGTTTAAGGGGTAGTGTGTTAGGTTTGAGTAAAAAGGAGCCTAAGGACAGCTCCCAGGCCCAGCGTTCACGCCACAGGACCAGCAAAATAAAAAGAAAATAGTTTGGTTTTTAAAAATTGTTATTATAAATGTGATATACAGAGGAGTTACAGTTACATAAGTCAGGTAAAGAGTATTTCATTTGGGGCTGGGAAGGTGGCTCAGTGGTAGAATGCTTGTCTTGCATGCACCAGGCCCTGGGTTTTATTCCTCAACACCACATAAGCAAAAAGAAAAAAACCCTGAAGTGGCCCTGTGGCAGAGCGCTAACCTTGAGCTGAAGAGCTGAGGGACAGCAGCCAGGCCCAGAGTTCAGGCCCACGACCAGACACCCCCCCCCCCTAAAAAAAAAAGTATTTCATTTTAGACAATGTAATTCATGTGATTGATTGCTTTGTTGAGAACAGTGGTTTCACAATGTGTAGTTTTTTTTTTTTCCCCTTTTTTTTTCTGCCAGTCCTTGGGGTTTAAACTCAAGGCCTAGGCACTGTCTCTAAGCTGCTTTTGCTCAAGGCTAGTGCTCTACCACTTGAGCTGCAGCTTCACTTTGATCTTTTTTGGTGATTAATTGGAGGTGAGAGTTTCACAGATTTTCCTTCCTGAACCTGCTTTGAATCTCAGTCATCAGATCCTACTACCCTCTTG